TTATACAGCATATACATCAGATAATGCAGTATCTGATGTAGTCCTAGATGTGTTCACATGCTACTAAGAGAGACAAATGTTCCCAATGTTCCTACCTTATTACATAAGAAATACATTTAAAAAGGAAGGGAATTAATCAGTCACTTAGTCAAGGTTTTTTTCGATTTAAATATTGGCATCTAACCTTTTTAACAAAGGTATATGAGCAAACACTTTTTTTCTTCCCTTTATACATGAACTAGTAGGTGGAATATACAATACTAAGCGCAACATATTGGCTCACATTGATCACGTTATACACATTGTTGCAGCTGGTGTCTAAACTTTTTTCCTAGCGCAGCTAAATTGGTTAAACTTAGTCAAGATCATTTCCTTTTCTCTCCTTTCAGGAACCAATGGATAGACTTATAGTTAGTCTAAGTTAAAACTGCAAGTCGGCAGGGGAAGATAGATAAAGATGGAATACAAATAACTACAACTGGTATAGGTAAAACATGTGTTTGACATGAATACAATTGCAATATTTTAATACAATTGTAACTGCACATAGTAGTTTTTTTTTTAAATTCCTCTTTAATGGTTGTGGATTTTTTTCTCCTTTGAGACCCAAGTGATTCTAGCAAGGTCGCTTCACCTTTTTTAAAATGTTTTCGTCATATTACTACAACCTTTTCAGGCACATTATAGCAGTCATTTTCTCTCTGATTAAGCAGCATTAGGGCAACATTGCTTTGTAAATTGATCACTGGTTGAGAGTTGTTGTGCCACCAACCAGGATCCTGAACACCATAATGTATACATTGCATGGGAATGTGTACCTGTGCACAAGCACACCCATTGTCATTGAGTTCATGTCCTCACCACTGCTCAGGCACATTTGCCGCAAACAACAGTTTTTGCTAGACTAGCTATACCTTACATCCTGGTTCCTTGAAGAGAATCTGTCACTTTGCAAATTCAGGGCAAAGGGACATGTTCTCTTGTTGCTAGGGCACCCTTTCAACCAACTGATACTTTCCTTCTCTGG